GCGCTTCATTGACGGCCAGAGCTATTCAAAAAGATGATGGATGGCGTGGCGAGAATTGAAGGGGGCTAATGAAAAATAGCTGGTTAAAAGAAGATTGCAAACATTTATAGCATCTGCCTCCGTCTTATTAATAATATGAAAACGGTCAATTAAGTTCCTTGAATAGCAAGGAGGAACAGGCCAAGTTTGGCCGAAACCAAGCCGGCGAGCAAAAAATTGGGGAGCATAAATTTCTACCCCTGCCTTGGCATTGGTTCCAGTTAAAATATAATGAAATAGCTTCCTCCCGGTTAAAAACTGGATCCAAATGAGCAGGGAGGTGCTCGCGCTGTCTATAGTGGAGGGGGATGTACATAGTCTGGAGTCAAAAAAGGAAGCAAAAGATGAACAGTAAATCGTGGGAGAAACACGAAAAATTTGAGGCGTGATTTAATGGTGCAGAGAAATGGCGTGTTTGGGGGTTATAAGGGTTTGCAAAACGACGCACCTTTTCAAGTTATGGAAGAAAACAATGATTGAAATTCTTGAAAATCTCGAATGTTGCTGAAAACACAATGTTAATATGTCAAAATTTAATAAATTATTAATTCTGCCATATTGGGGGGTAATTGTTGACACATAAAAATTCAGCCCAAATCGAGCGGCCCAAGGAATGAAGCCCAATTGGAGGATCCCCAAATCAGATAGCCAAAGAATGAAGCCCAATCAAACAATTCAAGATGAAGGCCCAAACAGAGAGGCCCAAGAACGCGATAACGCCATCGCCCAAGTTTGCAAGTCGTCCAGAATCTGAGCGAATGGAGTGCCATGCAGTCGCCCAGAGCTGTTACTCTATTCTCGCCCAAACCTTCAAATCGCTCAAAGTCTTAACAAACATAAAGCGTTGTGGTTATCAAGAAGTGCAGTTATCAAAGCAGTTATTAAAGCAGCCCTATCACGTTCCACGATTTAAGGAATTCAATCGAAAAGGGTTGAACGACGAAGAGTAGTGGCAGCAGTTAAAAAAGGCAGTTTTCATGACAAGCTGGCCATTATGAGAAAAGTGAGCAGTTGCAGAACGATCAAGCAGTTTTTAGGCGATTGATCACAAAAAAGATCATCTATGGAGTATAAAAGGGAGAAAGGACATACAACAAAGGACCGAATCAAAAACTCTCGAACAGAGAATATGTAATTTTAATTTCCTTAGTTTTAGACTTAAACACTTTTTTCAGTAATTAGTGTGCTTGCGCCCCTTGGAGGCATTTTGTTTTTTATTTCCAATTGTAAAGTCATCGCCAATAAAAGAACACCCCTTTTTGGGACTTTATCTCAAGAGGTTTGTCCCTTACACAATCGTCTGATCCCTTTTAATTGTTAGCGACCAACCCGCGTGAAACACATAGAAACGATTTATATTATAAACTATCAAACCAAAAATTTCAAACAATTAGTTAAATACTATTCGTCTTGCTGTTTTAGAGGCAAAAATATCAATCAAATCTAAATAACTTAGCTGCTCAACCATTTCTTTTTCTATTGATAACATAGTCAACTCGTTTAATATTTCTTGTGACATAGTTGATCGAAGATAGGTTTTGATCAACTTTAATTTCGAGAAACTTCTTTCCGCAGATACAACTGTAACCGATATGGTTAACAAAATTTGGTAAGCAATATAAGCATTTGGAAAACAAACATCCAATATCTTCAAATATTGTAGCACTTCAATTGCTCTTGTTGCTTCACTTGGTATATAACATCTCAAGACTTGTAATTCTGAACATAAATCATCCTCACTGATATCTGAACGCCCATTATGTTGAAGATATTTCTCAAGATTCAAACAAGAGTTCAACAAACTTGAAAAAGTTGCACCCCTTAACCTCTTCAAACTAAACAAAAATCCAAATGTGTCATCGTATTGTTTGAATTGTTCAAATCGGGTCCTCGGAGAAGATAGAGCTGGATCAATTATAAAAATAAAGTACTCAATTCTAAAAGATTCTTCTGCTGATTGCTTTATCTCATCACTACCGCTTTCATCAAATTATTTTTTTCGAATTATGCGTTTTTCTATAAATACAGTTTCAATTCTCATTTCGCTTGCATTTTTTGTCGCTTCATCTTTGGCAATAGTAAATTCAATTTCTCTGTATTCTTCAAGAAATGAAATAAGTCCTTGCAAGAGGTCAATAGCATGATCAATATCCATGGATTCGATTTGAAGAAATTTACTCACAATATTGACAGCATGCAACAATCTGTACCAGATTATCATGCCAAACAAAAACTCAAAATTTCGAAGTTCATGTGTTGCTAATGAATCGGCTTCACTCTTCACTTTAGGATCTTCATTACTTTCTGCTAAATCAAGTAATACATCTCTTATCTGTGCAGTTTGCTCCATTATAGGCTCCACACTTTCAACATGACTTTCCTAACGTGTTTGTGACAATGGCTTCACCGTCAACCCTTGTACATTATCTTTGAAATGTTTCCATCGCTTGGTAGAAGAGGAAAACAATGTGAAGATGCGTTGTATCACTCCAAAGAAGGATACAAGTTTGGAACAACAGTTCACCATATCACATAATGCTAGATTTAGACTATGAGGCGCCACATGGAGTATAGAAAGTTCGGGGATTCATTTCATGGACTCTTCTTTGCACACCTCTATGCTTCCCGCTCATGTTAGATCCGTTGTCATACCTTTGCCCTCTAATATCATCAATATCGAGATCAATTTTTATCAAAGCCTTTTGAAGCTCGGTTGCAAGTCCAAGTCCTATTGTGTCATCTACCTTCAAAAATTCTAGCCCATGTTCTTGAACTGTAGGTAAGTTTGCTTAATTATCTACAAATCGTACAGTTAAAGACATTTACTCCTTCTGACTTGCATCTGGAGTACAATCAAGTATAACTGCGAAATATTTTGCATCTTTAACTTTCTTGACAATTGAACTTCTCACTTGATTAGCCAACAACTGTATCAACTCATTTTGAATTTTTTTGCTAAGATACGTATATTGAATCTCTTTTGCTTTAGCCCGTTGAAGGTGTTCTTGCATTACTGGATCAAATTCACTAACCATTTCGACCATTTGTAAAAATAGGCCATTTTTCTCAACATGTAGCCTCTCATCATCTCCTCGAAATGGCAATGTGTTTTTTGCAAGTCTTTTCACAATAGCGATTATCCTTGTTAATACATGTCTCCAATGTTCTCTTTCAGCATCAATCAACAATTCAACGCTTTTATCAATTGTAATTTTTGATCGAAACCTATTTTCCAATTCAATCCAGCTAGTCATGCAACGTAAATGCTGCTCATTTCCTTCATGACTTTTAATAGACCGATGCAAATTATGTCAATCTTTGAATCCATCATTACCTAATTGGCCAACTTTGGTCACATTTATTGGCGTTTTAAACAACTTGCAACAAAAGTAGAGGATCCTGTCCATAGACACTGAATATACTAGCCATCGTCTATCAACTGTTTTCCCATTTGGTTGCAATCGCTTTTATTGTGAAGAATCGAAATGTCTATTTGTATAATCTTTCGAAAATGAGATGTCATCAACTCTTTTTGGACCCCTTTCAACTAAGTAATCTCTTGTTCTTTGATCAATAATTTTCCAATTCCCAGGATCATCCCAAATTAGAGAAAAGCAACCCTCTTCTTCCTTATCATCTTCTTCATTATTAGAGACGGGCTTCATCACTTCTTCTTCATTATCATCTACTTCGTTAACATCGGTAGGTTGACTCACTTCTTCATCCTTATCATCTATTTCATTAACATGGGCATGTTGAATCTCGACTTCATCCTCATTCAATACATTCAAATTGTTGCTTTTGAAGTACTTGTTAATATCCCCTGCTTGACTTTGAATTAATGTAATTTCATTTCCTTTCCTTTTCCTCTTCTGAGCACCAGACTCATGTTTAGGAGTCATAGTATATGAATGAATATCTAATGTCCAATGATTAACCTAAAAAATAATTACACAATATCTTAATCATCTCACAATTATAGTTTCAAATATAGTTACTACGTGCGCCTGTGCAATTGTTCATCGTACAATAAGCAATCATATAAGCCAACTAGGTTACAATTATATAAGCCGACAAGGCTTCAAACATTTTCAATGTCTTCAATAACAAGTCAGGGCAAGCCATTACTTACTTGAGAAGTGGAATTTTGATGAAAATTGTGGAATTAGACCGTTGAGAATGATCCCATTTTCTAAATTAGGAGTAAATCGATCGCAATTTTAAAAATTTTAATAATAGCTCCAAGTGCATTTACAATGGCCCCTACAAATTGAGACAGATAAATCTCAAGGTCAAGAGAGAAAACAAGAGAAAAGTCGGCTACCTGTTTCTTCCAAAGGCTCAAACAATGCGAATGTTGGGGACCTGGGGTACATATTAGTGATTCCATCAGAGTTTGGTGATTCATAGAAGAAATCCTTGACACAAGTGGCCAGTCTATGTCATTCAGAGGAAAGACATCAATATTAAGAGCCAGCCAACTATTAAAATTAATGGAAAGCAAAATAAGAAACCCCAAGACAAGGATATTCAAAACGCATTATTTGACACAGAAACTACTTCCAGAAAAGTATTAGAAAACAAAGTTGCATATCTACATAAGATGTAGTTAACCCATGTGTCTGGAATGCATAAAAAAGACCTTCATTGAAGGATTTTTTTTTTAGTTAGTGTCAAAAGCCTTAAACTACCGTATGAACCTAATTAATGTTTCATTTCAATAAATTCTTTCCAATTGATCCTTCATCATGTCATTCTGAATAGGACCTAATGCAGCGAAGGAATGTACAGCCCACGTACTGTTATCCATTAATTATAAATCAGACAATCACCTATCCTGTCTTGCACCAGTTACTATTAGAATTTTGTTTCGAAGTAAAGAAAAAGAGAGTATATTATATTATTCAACGATGCAATCAAGTTGTTAACTGTTATGAGTCTACTAGAAATGGTTTCTCCACCTAACATTTATTTTCTTTCTTCAAAGAAAGGGCACTAAGGACAATGCTTACCTGCAAAGCCTTTTCGTATATGAGTTTGAGCCCAAGGAATTTCCTCGTCAGGACCAAGTTTTTTCATTAATATATCCCTGCACATTAAAAAATCGATTAAATATGCAATATCTGACGATGAAAATATTTCATGCTCACATGTAAATTGGAAATTTTACAGTTTGGAACATGAAATTGACATCAAAATGACAATTTTACACTCACGAGGACAGGTAAATTCTGGAGAGGTTGTATGTTTGCAGAAACCAAATTTGCAGTCTGCAATTAGTAAAACATGAAGAAGCAAAGTTAGATTCAAAACCTAATAAGAAAAGATAAATAATTGTGTATGATTTATTTAGAAGATGAAATTATTAGGCGGTAAATTTTTCAGGTCATTACTTTATTCAATATCCTCAAGCACATTCTCCACCACATAAAGAAAAAATCTATTAGAACTACCAAAATTAGTTATTGTTAGCGTACTTTTATTAGCACATATCAAGATTTTCCCTATTCTCACCCCCATCCCTCCATTCCTCTAAACCAGCACAGTAATATTTAATATGTGCATATGGTTAGAAAGTTCTCCACAAGCTTAGGCTATGTGCGCTATTTAACATTGTATAACCAAGTAGATTGGTCCTCGAATCAAAAGAGAAAATAAATGTTTCTATGAACATTTTTGAATTAACAAAATAACCCGATCCTAATCTTTTAGTAAAAGGTTAGTGAATCATTAGCACATTAGTTTCTAGACATGATACTAAAGAGAAGAAATTGTCTCCGAAGATAACTGAGGAAGAGTCATAAGTTGAATCACTTTTATCTTACATTAATTAACCTTTGCTAGGAAATGCCTGAAGTGGGAAGATATATTGATTCGAAGAGTTCATTGGAAAACAAAAATAGTTATTGATAGCACAAGTGTAGACAGAGATATTTAACCAGCAATTGTTCACCTGGTAATTGAGAGCCCTTTTCTGAAGATCTTTTGGCAACAATGGATGCTGAGGATACTTCTCTTCTAGATGGCCAACGACAAGTTCCACTTGATTTGCATTTATATTAGAATTTTATCTATGGGATTAAGGTAGCAGTACCAATAAATTTCTTACTTTTTAGTAGAACTCTATGAAAGTTAATAACAAAATTTTGCAGCATCTGTCAAGCACACTCGCACGAGGCAAACCACCACATATCCACAGGCACTCACATTGACAAGCATATTTTGAGTATAGCAAAATTGCGCATGCTCAGGTACATGAATAAATTTCATCCCATCCCCTAAAAACAAACACCAAAATATAAAATCATCATGAACCAATTAGGATATGCGCTTGAGAAGACCTATGTGAAAAAAATTTGGGATGATTTGGTAAATCGAAATCAGTCTTCCAAGAAATGTGGTCCAGACGAAAATAAATTGCATATCAACAGAACGAAGCTACATCATGTGGGAAAAATTGCATATCAACATACAACAGTCAACAGAAATTACAGAACCAAGCTAGTATATCAACAAAACGAAGCTAGCTGGGCGGAGGTGGACTGTGGTGATCGAGTGACCGGACGGAGCGACGATCAGACGGAGAAGACACAGACACTTAGAGTAGACGAGCAGTAGCACCGGACTGGAGCACGTCGACGTCGAGAGGAGCAGCTGCAGCCCTAAATTGTATCTTTCATATTTCAAATTTGGGAATTTGGGTAAATGGGTTGTGAAATTGGATTTGGGTATATGAGTTGGGTTGAAATTTTAGGATAAATGGATTGTGGGTTGTTGGATAATATTTTTGGGCCGGATCATATTATTAAAAAAAAAATTTGGAGCCAAAAATGGGCCCTTAATAGTCTTGGGCCTGAGGCGCGGACCTCACTGGCCTCGCCCCAGGACCGGGCCTGACAGTAGGCTTTGAAAACCAAAAGTTTCAAAATTTTAAAACTGTGAGGTTGTATTAATTTGTTTAGACACGTGGACATCATTAAAATAATTTATGTTGGGTAAAGTGGCTTTTTTATTATTTTGAAGAGGTTAATTCAAGATTATATTGTGTTGATACTTACAAATCATTAGTTTTATGTTTAGTTAGGACAACAAACAATGATAGAAACAATTAAAAAGTGATAGCAAAGAATTAGGATTTAATTCACATTGAAAAGGAGCACCCACGAGTAAGAAGAATACCGAGTCAATTATTCCCTCTCCGTACGATGGAAGAGGTAAAGGTTTAGCAGATTTCTAAAGAAAAACCACAATATAAAAGTTCAGGGACCAAATACAAATTATAAGAAATTAGATTGCGTACAAACTCGCGATTTCTGACACAATATCCACAATAGAATCGCAGTAAACTAACAAGCGACTTCAACTCGAGAATCATTCCCGCTTGACGATAGGGTTCGTTTAACGTACAGTGATCGATCATTGGTCTTTACAGTCTTCAATCTCAATTTCTCAGCCATTTTCTGTTCAATTTCACGCAGACCGCATACGGGGGAGATGAGGAATCGTGCTGCGGCGGCATGGGGAGTGGCAATTGTGTGTTTCGTGGTACTAATGTTGGTGACTCCCAAAATCCCCCAGTCTCAAGAGTACCATGACTTCGCCGACCAACGTGAATTTTTCGGTAATTTTTACTTCTCCTGTTTGGTTTACGGGACCATCGAGATATTGGATCGATTCTTTAATTTATTATTATTTTATTTTTTTTGTTGATCTGTCGTAGTTTATTAATTACATATGCTGATTCATTAGATTTTATTTAAGGTTACTTTATCTGAAATTAGAAATTCCATTAACAATTTTATGCTTTGTATTGGTCCTACATCTTTCTCTTTTTTTTATTTTTATTTTTTTGCCTGATTTTTTTCCCACTCTCTTACTCTCTGGACTCATAATTCACTGTATAGTAGCGGGAAAAAGATAGTTAATCACAGATTTGGAACTGTTATTTTTTTATTGCAATCTTCATAAACACTGATCACAGTAAAATCATCATGTTGGAACTGTTATTTTTTTATTGCAATCTTCATAAACACTGGTCACAGTAAAATCATCATGATCATTTATTATGGCAAAATTTATTCTTTTTCTAATTTTAAATAATTTTTACACAAAGTACTAGGAATATATCTAAATAATGACATCTGAAGTGGGAGATATGAATTCACTCCTGAGTAAAGGCTGTGAATTTGCTGATGCTGCTTAGAGTATGGTCAAATTATTGTCGTCTTTGTTCCAACTTTTTTCTACGAAAATAAAAATTATGTACAAAGGTGCAGTAATAACTTGTTTAGAATCTCCACCGCATTGCATTGATTTTTGCTTGGGATTTTGGTTTTTCAGGGATACCAAATACATTGAATGTGATCTCGAATTTCCCCTTTTTGATCATTGGTCTAATAGGTCTAATACTTTGCTATTTCAGAAACTATTTTAAGCTGAGGTAAGGTAACCATTATTTTCTTACAGTGGTCAAGTACTCGTAAGAAAGTCATTTTCACCTGCATACGTGTATTTTCAAAAGATTGCAGGGTGAACTCTGCGGTTGGACATGTTTTTATATTGGCGTGGCAGCTGTTGGTATTGGATCCTCTTATTATCATCTCAAGCCTAATGATGAGCGCCTTGTATGGGATCGCTTGCCGGTGAGCTTTTTCGGTGTTGCAAACTGCTGGATCACTTCATTTTTTATTTCAGTTGTTTCATTTTCAATTTATTCTCTTTTCCTCTTATGAGAAGTAATTGGCGCTTAACTTATGATATGTGTAGATGACTATTGCATTCACATCTATCATTGCGATATTTATAATTGAGAGAGTAGATGAACACAGGGGAACTCTGTCCATAATCCCTCTCCTTCTGGCTGGTGTAGTCAGCATATTGTATTGGAGGTAAGCACTCTTTTCGTTCAGGCTATGGTGATGCAATTTTTTTGTCTTACATTGGTCAAGCGACAAGACATACTTGTCACAAACTCTTATTATATTCTAGACATTAACTGTGCAACTGTGTAAATTTTCAATAAAGAAATTGTTAGTCAAGCAGAGTTGGGTTTTGGAAATGCATGGTTACTGTAAATTAATGATGGCGATTCACCTGATTGGGAGTGTATCCTCAGCCTTTTTATGTGGGTGGAGGGAATGCAACAACAATTTAAGTCCATTACAGGGTCTGCTGCAGAATGCTTGTTTGCCATTTGTTCAATCTAGCACTAGCTCTACTTGAAGTTTGTATGAATTCAAATCTTTTGTAACAGTATAATGTCATTTTAATTTTGGTATAACTTTTTACTCTTCTATCGCGTTCAAATGGGACCACATTGTAACAAATTCTATTGGAATCACATTGTTCTTGTGAACTACGCGAGACAATTCCATCATCAAAGTTACTCACACAGTACTCCTGTTAATTGATGTCGTATACATCTCCATTCTTTATTTTTATCTACTCTTACATGGTGTATATCAAACGTATCGTCCTCATTTCTGCTATGTTTATTTATGGAGGTTTTCTCACTTTGAATCTGCACTATATGATGAAGTAATTTTTCGAGATAAATATTTTGGAACTGGGAGCTTTCTAAGGGGTTTTTGCTTGTTGCCTCTAATAAAGTAAACCCTGTATATTTCTATTGACATGTACATTTCTTTGTAGGTTTTTTGATGACCTGCGCCCATATGCTGTGGTACAATTTGTACCTTGCATAGCAATACCAGTAATGGCTATATTACTGCCTCCTATGTACACACATTCCACATATTGGCTTTGGGCTGCAGGTTTGTTGCTGTTTCTGTTGCAAAGGTTCCTGCTGTGTGTTCTCTGAGTTGCCAAGTAAGATTTCACTGTATAATTTGCAGGGTTTTATCTCCTAGCTAAGATTGAAGAAGCAGCTGACAAACCCATTTACAGTTTGACTCATCATATTGTGAGTGGGCACACTCTGAAACATTTATGTGCAGCAATGGTCTCCGTCTTCTTGACTCTTATGCTTGCAAAGAGGGATATTGCAGAAGAAAGGTATCATTTCATTTTTGTGACATTGTTATTGTGTCCAAATATAACCAACGTTGTAAAAACCAGACTGCACTGACCGGTTTGACAGCTTTGTTAAAGGAGCTGCAGTTGCTACTTCCACTGCCTTTGTGGGAGAAATTTTTACTGAAGGAGAAACTGAATTGAACTGCACTGTCACGTGACTTGTAGCACTGCTGTTGCTAACCAGAGTTTATGTTTGCCCTATTGGCCTGTTCTATGAGTATCTAGTTATTTAATTTCTTGAAAAATTAACTGATGTGCCAATGAAGTATATTGTGAATTGTCCCCATCCTATATAACTCGTTTCGTACATTGATACACATTCTTTCTACTGCTCCACTTCAGGCTCAGTTTATTGCAGATTTGGAGAATATCATGGAAAAAGGTTAAGAAAAATGGTAACAATGTGGAGAATCTCTCGTGTACGTATTCTGTTGTTCCAGTTGTTGAGGAATCACATTAACTCGGAGTTCCAGATAACCTTTTCCAGGAACAAGAAATACTTCAATACCATTTGTTTAACCTGGAGTATCTAACTCGTCCTTAATTAGTGTATATAAAGCACAAGTTTTAAGTGAATACCTGTAATAGCTGTGACTCGCTGTTAAATGTGATAAGGTTTTAATCTTTGATCCTGTAACCTTGGATCTAGCTGTCTTTAATATGGAAGAATAGATGGGAATCTTCTTATCTTAATGAATTATGTTAATGGCAGTTTCTTCTGATACAGACACATTTTACCTCTGTAAAAATTCAATCTGAGTTTTAACTTATTGGGATTTAAATTTTCG